CCGCTGGATGGCAGCACGGCCCTCTGGAGTGTCAGCCACCCCTCCCAGTTTGGTATCATCAGCGAATGTGCTAAGGATACACTCTGTCCCCTCATCCGGGTCATTAATGAATATATTAAACAAAATTGGACCAAGTGTCGACCCCTGGGGGACACCACTGGTTACAGGCCTCCAACTATGTTCACTTACCTTACAGCCTGAAATTGTCTATACAAAGATTGAGCAGAAAGGAAAAGGAGCGAAAGCTTCTCATTTTGCCTTGCTAGAACAATTCAACTATTAATTTATCAAGCCCCTACCTCCGCAAAAGGGATGGTGCAGAGTGTACAATCCATGGCTCCAACTGAAATGACTGGGGAGATGGCGAATTCCTCGGCTGTGGCTGTGTTAGGATGGGACATTCCCATGTGCTCAAGGAATTTGGTAAAACACCACAAGCTGGGTCTGGGATACCAGACTGCCATTTCCAAACAAACCAAATTACTGATTTATGCTCCCCAGCATTTCAGCTAGGCATTGTGGAGCTTAAATCTAAGCCTATTTAGGCAGTTGAACCTAGAATATAACTGACACAGTGCCTTAGAAGTGAAAGCCACCGGTGCCCTCGGCCAGCCTGCTATATTCACAAACACTGGTGAAAACCTGAATTGCCCCTTTTGTTTAAGCGTAGGGGAGAGCGATCCATCCCTTCCCTAACTGACTGTTTTTCCCCTTCACTTCCCCAGTTTTCCTCCTGAGAAATCGCCCTCTGGAATGTACAGCAGTCCCGGTCGAGGTCCTAACTCCCCCCAACAGAGTGACAGCAACTTTTACACAGCGATCACAGCGAAAAGCCTTTAAAAAGAAGCTCTTTTAGCTTGTCCACTGCTAAAAGGCTGCAGATGAGACTTCAAAAGCTCGTGCAAGAATCTGGACACTCCATTAATATTAACTTCAGTAGGAATTGATGTCCAAATCCAGCCCTACAAGCCTGAAGCACTGTAGCCCACATTCCTTGCTCCTAACAGTGGGAAAGTCCTGTTCACTCAGACTGGACGTTAGGAAAAAAACTGCTACCCAAAAAAAATAGTACGCAGTGATTGTGCGGGAGGAGATATGCTGAACACCTACTGCTACATTAAAGCAGAAGTAACAAGGAGGGAGTAGAAGTGGTTTGGGTTCTCTGCAGAGTTGAACAGAGTGCCTGGTTTTCTTTAGCACAGCAGAATGAGGAATGAGTTCAAAACAGGTAACATAAATCATAAACCTGGAAAATTCCCATGTGAAGAGAATGAAAAAGCTTCCAACAACTTATTATAGAGAGAAGAGCAAGATGAAATAAAACAAAATTGTAAAGAAGATGAAGATACTTTTATTTATCCTCTTGTAACAACAATAAAGGGATAGTGAAGTGAAATGCAAAATACCCTCATAACTGATTAAAGGAAGTAAATGCTCTTTTACACTATGCATCAGGCACCACTGGGACTCATTGCTGCAAGAGACCACATCAACAATTCTGGGGTTTTTTCCCTGTTTGTTTTTAAATCTTGCTATTTATACAACTAACAGTAACATCGAATTTTAGGACCAGACAGCACGCTGGACTGGATGTGTTCTGTAAGTAATTAGAAGCTTATTTCCTGACCTGTCCCCTTCTGATGTATCATGCCAGGGCTGTTATTAATGCTTCCTAATAACTAAGAGGTATGTCTGAGTAATTCCCTCTTTTCTTCCAACAACTGAGCAGCGAAGCAGATCTTTTCATGATGGGCAAATTCTGTACAGGTTACATTGCACAAGGATACCATTCCTTTGAAAAAAGTACGGCAATTCTCCACTAACAACCTATCTAATAGAAATGATCATTCAGTGCCTGTTTCTGATGCTCATTAAAAATTCCCTTAAGTGCTAGTAAGCAGAGCTCCTGCTTGTGAGGTTCTGGAGTCACAGATTTAGAACGAGAGACTTTACCTAAGACAAAAAGGCTGGCTGCTCGCTACGCCTCAAACTTAGTAACTGGAAGCCTTGAGTCCAAGTCCTTGCTCCCTCCTAGCCTGACGGCATGGCCACGGACAGGTTATTCAGCCTAGGTCTGTATTAAGACCGTTTTGCTCGCTGAAATTACACCAAAACATCATAGTAGCTGAGCCTACTGTGGCTACTCTTTGCACAGGCATAACAGGGTTTCTGCCAGGGAATAACACATTTGTTAAAGATTGTACTGAAAAGAGGTTATATAGATGTTTCACATTATATGAGTTACATATACGGTGTCAGGTGCAAGATTCTGCCCCTCTTTTGTTTACACTGTTTGTTCCAACTCTGTATTTCATAACAGAAGAAGAAACCCAGCTCCTCTCCCATGCCTTAGAAACAGTATGACAGCATTAAACCACAACCAGCTGTAGGTATCACTAAAACTGGAATGCAGCCCAAGGCAGCTGAGAATTACAGGAGTAAAAGGCTGACAGTCCTTCAGAGGACAGCAATGAGGAATCAAAGGCACGTGCTGAGCACTGGGTACCTGACACTAGGCTGCCCAGAGAGGTGGTGGAGTCTCCCACTCTGGAGACATTCAAAACCCGCCTGGACGCTGTCCTGTGTAACGTGCTGTAGGTGTAACGTGCTGTAGGTGCTGTAGGTGACCCTGCTCTGGCAGGAGGGTTGGACTAGATGATCTCCAGAGGTCCCTTCCAACCCTAACAATTCTGTGAATTCTGTGAATTCTGTGAATTCTGTGACACGGACATCCTGGAGCTGTGCTGGTGAGCACGGGCGTCTTACATGCCAGTCATATATATAAATCTCAATATGCTTTGATTGTTAAAAACCAAACTAAACCAAACCATGCATCTTACAGAAAGGAGCAATCTGATCTGCTGTTCTCAAGCATGTCTAAACTTCAGTGATTTACGACCTTAGGAAAAGCGGTAAATGAAACTGCAGCCTCAGTCTTTCTTTGCCTGGGTATTACTTTGTTTTGGGCTTGCAATTAAGTCAGGCTTTTCAGAGAGTGTTGCTATATGCCTAGGGCCGCTGCCTCCCACCATACAAACTGGTTTTGCAAACCAGCCAGAACGTATCAGGAATTAGCAATGAAGAGACCCATTTAGTCCACCACGGGGTGGGGGTAGTGCAGGTTACTCCACTTCCCGGCGTTCAGACAGCAGCTGTAAGCGCACACCCAAACACACAACCTGAGTGGTGTTAGAGCACTTACTGCGAAATGTGCAGTACTTACTTCAGATGGCAGCTCAGTGCTGAAATGCCTAAAGGCTACAGCCATTTCAGAGTTTGGGAGCCACAAGGATCTGCATACACAATATACTGTGTCATTTAGCACATTTAAGGGAACCCTTAGGCAAAAATGTAAGAAGCCTGAGAATGGCTTCCTATCAACGATGCCCCTGGGCCTCGATAAAGCTGTTTGTGCATCTCATGATAAAATGTCCCTAGCTTTGTGGGTCATAACCTGTATGATTGGGCCTTGCCAACCAAAGCCTGTACCTGTAACAGGCACGTTACTCCCTCTGTGCGCTGCATTTTGTCATAAGGCAAGCGATCTGTTATCCACTGCTGTGAGTCCTTTCCTAGATAATTACCTTGATCTACACATGAAGCACAGAGGAATGTCTCAACAGCTGAACAATAATTTGGCAAAAACTCATTATCAACAGGCCTCTGGAGAATACAAAATGTCCTAAAAATTAGAGGACACAGTTATCGCTCTATAAACACAAAGACCCATCATATAAGATGGGTTAATTAATCCAGTCTTTGACAGCTGCATGTTTGGCTTCTCATTTTTGGAAGGGCTTTCACTTAAACCTGCCAGTTCCAGTACATATTGTGAACGAAAATTTTGAACCAATGTCTTTGGTAGAATACAGGCTGTCAGTGAAACCAAAGACACTGTGGATCAACAAGGACACCCCAGAAAGCAGAAATGCTGGGGAAATCAGAAAGCATAGCCAGCAGCATGGCCTCAGAGCCTTGTTCTCAGAGATCAGGCTTTGGAATCGATTTATTGGTGTGAATGAATTTTTTGCCTACAAAAAAAGTGGCAAATAGGTGGCTTGCCCTGCAGTCTGCATTATTCTTGGTAACAGATTATACATAATTCATTGCGCATCCTGCTTGAGATGCATTCTAGCATCTGGAAAGAGGGAAGGCC